CTCTCTCTCTCTCTCTCTCTCTCTCTCTCTCTCCCTCTCATACACATATATTCGTAAGACAAAATCGTAAGTTGAGACGCATAGGCACGTACGCATATCCCTTCTATTGTGCCACCCCATTAAACATTCCTAGTCGTGTATAATCCGTTATAAAGGAGAATAATAATCTCGCGATGTGCAGTAAACACCAGCGAGTTAAACAAGTGCCCGGATTGCATACTTACTTTCTAGGATGTCGCGGAGTGGAGGAAAGGAGAGGACGGGGGTAGGAGGAGAGAGAGAGAGAGGGAGGGAAAAGAGAGAAGGGCGGTGAAGACAAGTATAAACGTTTCGCCGCCACGAGCAATGCTCGCGGGCGTGGAAAGTAATTTAAGGAGCGATCAAGCTGTCGCCGGCAATGCGGCTTATATTCAGTGCGGCCCACGTTACGGCCAAACGTGGGAGAGGAGATAACCGCAAACGAAGATCGTATACATATTTCCTTGCGACTGTAAATCGACGGTACTCGGAGGGTAATAAGCCCCCTCCCCCGCGCGAGAGGTGGAATTCACGCGGGGGATACCTATCGCGATCGCCGAGCGCATTTAAAGTCCTGTGTGAGTACCTGAAAACTCGTATCATTCGAGTAATCTCGACAAATGCGAGTATCAAATCCGCGATTAAGAACGTCCTCTCGTATTTCAAGCAGTCATGAAAGAAATATAGAAGCGAATGGAGGAGAGACGGATTACGAGGGGGAGGGGGGGAGGGAAGAGGGGAAATCAAAACCGTACGATTAAATCGACGATAATAACGGAAACGTCGACGAGAAGATCCGTCCTGAGTGTGCTTCGTAAATGTGTAGCTCCTGGCGCCGAGCACTTTGTTGCTGTTCGAGATAGCTGCGCAAACACTTTACAATTTATATTACAACCTTACACGGAGGGCCCTTCCTCACACAAGCTATGAGATTTCTCTCCCCGCAAGATTTACTGGTAAAGTTGTTACTACTCTGCCATAAAATATTTAATTAGTTATCTTAATGCCACTTATTTCTCTCGCTACCTGCCGCTTGTTTCTCTCGACTCGCCAAACTTTCGTGAAATAAAACGAGGCCAAAATGTACACCGACGAAAAGGAAATAATTTATACCCTCTTCGGTTAACATATATCGGTCGCATATTTTATCGTTTCGTCGTCGTGGGTCTTTTACATTCGTGAAAACTACTTTCACTTCCACGTCGGCCGCAGCTGCGATCAAACGCTTCGGCTTAATTAAATAATTGATCAATTTTCTTGATATTTAACAATTTCGGAGAATATAATTTTCTATCGTACGCGCCGGGAATATTATCATCGATAACGTCGCGGCACAATTAACTGTAATCGTCCGGAATGTTAAAGTGCAAATATTGCCGCAAGGCATTCCGCGACATATAGCGCGTCTAGCGAAATATCAACGGTACAACGACGAAACGTACGTCGATATATCAAACGCGCACAGTTGCGCACTGTGAAATAATCGCTCGGAATAACGTTTTGCGTTATCAAAGGTAAGGCGATGATTAGAATCAAATCGCCGCAATGGGCAACCGTGAGAATGCCGTCGCAACGTTGATTGGAATTTAGTATAGAGCGATAGGGACTGTGTAACGTTCCTCGCTTCTCCAATTAAGCCAGCCCGAATGTAAATCCGGTTAAGGGAATCCTGCAGCGAGCGGGTGCGCGTCATCGTCGTCGCCGTCGTCGTCGTCGTCGTCGTCGATGTCGTCGACGAGATTCATTCGTTCGAGGGAACGGCGAACGGCGGCAATTCATTGTTGCCGGAAACCGTTAATGCGCTAGCGGAGAGATCTTTAAATTAACACATCTGGGACTCTTACGCGGACGCTCGACACGGGCGTTTATACGCGATCGTAAAAAAAACGCTCGGGGATCAGTCGCGCGTGTCGTTAAATGAATTCGTCCGTCCGAAATCTGGCGTATATCGATTACGAAGATTGGATGCGACAAAAATTGGACGTCACGAAGATTAAGCTCGTCCGGGATTAGGCAGACGTAAGACTCTCCTCCGAGAAGACGTGGCAGACGCGTCCCCCTCCCCTCCCGCGCCCGCTCCCCACCCTATCACTCCCTTCCCTTCCCCGCCACGCGTATAAAAACTCATCAAAGTTCGCGCCAGCCAGCAAACTGACGCCATTAGAAGTAATTTATCATTTAAAAGTGGCCCCTTCTTGCCGCCACGCTCAGCAAGCTGCGACATATACGGTATTAACTTTCTTATGACGGGAGGCTCCTCTTGACCCGTTTTCACCTTACGGGGCGCAAACCAAGCCGGCATGCCACGCCGGGTTGGCGCGCGCGTCACGTACGTACGTAATGACCATATTATAATACATTTATCCGACACGCTATCTCCTGCCGGACCGAAATAAGCCATACGTAATTCCCTCCTAATTATCCGAAAATACAGTCACGCGACGGCGCGTTAATGCTCGGCGGAAAGGAGTAATTGATCACTTGAAATTTATCGCTCAATTTAGCAGTGCTCGCTTAGCCGGCTACGATTTCGCCTACGATGCGATCCGCGCACTCTATCAGGCGTATAAAGAAACGATTGCACAATGGTTATACGCAATGAATAAATTCAATCTGTTTGCGATACCGTCGGTGTTATTATACGCTCTGTACCGCACTCGAGACAACGAATGGCTCTCACAAATCTCATTTATTAATGCAGATAGAAAAGTGTTTCTCCTCTAATGTGGAGACGACCGCAAGCGTGAAAATGCAAATCGCGAGATATTATACGGGATATCTCGTCTTAGTTTCCGCGATAAAATGTTTTCACGAGGAAGAGGAATGTAATGAAAATCGGGATGAGCGATAAAGCCGGGCCCGCCGAGGCGCGAACTTATTTTAACAGATGCCATATTGTAGAAATTTCACGATTGCCTCGTATTTTATATCCCATAACTGCCAAGTGGCGAATATTTCACTGTTATTAGTAACGTAAGAGTGGATAATATAAGTGTACGCCATCATTGCGTTATAACAATGTAAGTTAGAACGTAAGGAAAAAGTGGCTAGAAAAAGGAAAGCTAAATGTTCGGTCAATTTGCCAATTTTTTATCCCGCGATGCCCGCACGCGGTTCGTTTCGAGCGAAATAAATACGTATGATTGGAAATTAAATGCAATTTTCTGTAACTGTTTACAACAAGGCGGTGTAAAACTACGAATCCGTATGCGAATACGTAAAATATCAACATATTTTAAATATGCATTCTACGAATGTAATTAAACACGAAATATGTGTAGTTTCTCATCGGATCTGTGTACTGACGAATAATCGCTCTCGACGGATAAAATTAAACGTGTGTCGAAACGCTGCCTTAAATCGAGTGCAAATTAAAAGCATCGAAACGATCAGGAAGCGGGTCCCCCGAGCTCGTTACACGCGCACAGGGGGATGATTACATGCGATTACAGCTCTAATGCGCTACGTTGAAGTATGCGACGTTATCGGAAAATATGTAAATCAGTGCTATCGATTCTCGCAGAGGGAAACGCAAACGCGCTAATAAAGCTGTGCGCGTACAGGCATGATAATTATCGATCGATATGCCATTGATGGTACTCACGTCTCTGTACAGCGGCGATGCGAGTCGTTCCGCGCTGCCCTTCGCCGAATCTCCGCCTCTCTCTTATTTTTCTCACCCCGCTCTACTTCCCTCCTCGCTCTTTTTCGTCGAGCTACTCCATCCGTTTTTCTTCATACAGCTTCACTAAAACCGGCTCGAGAATCACAGCTTTCCCCTCCTCCCTCGTTGTTGACACTTCCGCCACCGGAGAGAAGAGTTTCTCGCGCGGTTATACAGGCGATTCTTTCCTCGGCGTTCCTCGTTCCCCCTTCATCGTCGCCGTTCCCCCTTAAACGGCTAAATCGTACAATTACCTACTTCCTCCGGAATCGCACTTACGCATCCGCCGCATCGGCCGCAACGAGACGCTACTACCACACCGTGAAACGGAATTTATTCCGCGGCGGCATTCCCGAATATCGCTCTCAAGTAGCAAACGCGGCCATCCACGCGGTCGATCGGGGAACGCGCATCCCGTCAGATTCCGCGATACATCTACGAGCTTGGGGTATTATCGGGGACGAGCATCGCTCGAGCGGGAGTAATTCGCGTGGAATCACAGTTCGCGATGTGTCGCAACAATTCCCGCGCACCACCGATCTCGCGAGCGTACACACGTTAGTGTCGGGTCAAAACGACGCGAGAATTCCTTTGACGCGCGCGACCGGTCCGCTGAATTTATCGAACAAATTGTGTCCCGTTCTTATCCCCGAGAGCCGTTACCGTTACACAATGGGACAATCCGATCATTCGTCTCGCACCAGTGGGACGAAGCGAGGAGGCTACAATCCCGTGCACACGTAACTTCCTCTCCAGATTCATTATTTAAACAAAAAAAAAAAAAAGAATACAACGGTCGAGGTAGTGGAGGTAATAAACAGAATAATAATAAACAGAAAGGGAATTTCTCCATCCATCCAGTTACGTAAGTGGTCCTTCCTCATGTTCT